CGACATATTACGTTCATTTTTAAAATTTTAGTAACGACCCTTATTTAGCTATTGATTACTCTAGTTTTGTTATTAATTACTTTTGCTTCAAAAATTCAGAAAATATATTAAATATTGTTAAAGATCTAGTGACTACTTTTTATTTAGTTATCTACTACTCTTCTATACTCAATAGTTATATAAAAAAATTTTAATGGGCTTTATTTAAAAAATTAGAGAAATAGGGTTATAAAATTTTAATAAAGAAAAGACGCAAGATAAAAAAGTAAACAAAATTAATTCTTTAACTTTTTTAAATCTAGTTTATTAAATTTTTTTTCTCTATTTCTCTCTGGATACACTATAAATCTTCCAGTTGAAATGAGGTGGGCGAAGGAAATTGTAACACCTCACATAATTATATCAATATACGCAATAAAATATTTAATTTAAAAATCCATACATATTTTTAATACTGCAATTAAGTCAAAATTTCAAAACATTTCTAACATAACTTAACAACATAAACTATTAAAGTCTTATAGTCATGGCAAATAAAAATATAACATAGCATGTGCTTGAGGAGCACAGAAGCCTTCACGGCACACTCCATTGGTGCCTTCCCTTGATTCCTATTAGATCCTTCGCCTGAAAATTGTTAATATAGGGAGTGAGATCAAACGTCTCAGTAACTACTGAAATTCTAACCTATACAAGCAAATCATATATGATAAACCAAAAATCCGTTTATATGTGTGTATATAAATATATTAAAAATCACGGATTTGAGACATCCAATTCAATTTCATTTTTTTCCAACAATATACCAATATTATTTTTCTAATATATCCAAAAATAATGCAATATGCTGCCTCCCTTATATCACCGTCCACCCTTATACCGCTGACTGGAGCCATAGGCTAAGACATAGTCCGATAGGAACTAATCCATTTTACTGAATTATTCCAAGCTCACCGATACTAGAGATATATCCGGCCAAAGATATAGAGCTCAAGCTCGAACTATGACTCCCCTCCTTTGTGAATAGGGAGGTGTCACATATCCCACAGCTCCAATGAATTCCCAGCCAAAGGAAAACATGGAAGAAGGGGCCCTGACAAGTGCCATCCACTGTGCACCGAGTGATGACATACCACGTGGTAGTTTTATATCCATGCAATCTCCTTCTATCCTTAGCCCAACAATGCATGTCAGATGCCAATAATGTTACATCATAAATACGTCCTCAAATATTTTAAAGATAAGATAGCAATAAAACTTATATACCATTTAATAGCAACTCCTGACAATTCCTTAGTCATCAATATATTTAAACATTGATCATAATTAATAGCAATAAATCTTAACAAAATCAAATAACATATCAAAACATTTATTTAAAATCATAATACTACTTTTCAGTATGATATAAAATTAGTAAATCCACATATAATCATACACAATTCACATGTACAAGAAAAAATTTTCAGAGTTACCTGGTACTCTTTAGCTTACAAAAATTCACACAAAGATTACTCCAAAATTCTCAAGTCTACAAAATTGCACATAAATATTTATTAATATAAACTCAGAACTACTCCAAAGCTACTCTAAAATTCTAAGACTACCCTCTAAGCCAAAATTACATAAATATATTAACTCTCCCAAATCTAGGCATTTATAATAGATATTATTTTGAAAAATAATTTACATATAAGGCTATTTAAATCTAACCAAAGTGTGTGTGTGTGTGTGTGTATATATATATATATATATATTTAATTATAAACAAACTGTAGCTTTATTTAATTTTACAAAATTCTCAATTTATAATTTTTCAAGTCTTCAAAAATTATTTCAAATATATATTTAACTTATTCAATATTTAAACCGATTAAAACATCAATATTATATTAAATAACTCAAATAAATTATTTAACTCAAATTTAATCGGTAAAAACATATTACAAGTCTAAATAACAAACTTTTCAACTAAAATCTTAGTTTAAAATTCTCAAAATAATCATTAAACCAAAATAAACCGATTAAAATTCCTTAATAATGGATCTTTAAATTTCTACGGTTATATATTATCAAAACTCCATATTTACTCTATACCCAAACAGTAAAATTTTCTCTAAACATAATAATAATACTAATAATATTAAGCTCTAAATTTAAGAAATACTCATAAAGAAATTTGATAAAAAGAAGTATATTTGTGTACCTAAATGATCCTCAAATCTTCTCCTATCCTTCAGACAGCATGTACTTCCACACTCTCGATTTTCCTTTCTTCCTCTCGCTCTCTTTCTTTCTCTCTCGCTCTCTCTTTTTTCTCCCGCACTCTCTTGCTCTTACTTGAAGGAGATAACTGGGGGATGATGATATATATATATATATATAATACCTCCATGTTTCAAATTTTTCCACCGCCCCTTACCCATTTTTCTGCGTCCATTTGCTATTTGCCCGTTTTTTCTTCGGCCATTAACACCTCCCCCCCTTATTCTTTGTTCCATTAAATGATGCCCAGGCTTTCCACCGAATTCGGTGGAAAGCTGGGTATCTATTTTTTTTTTTTTATAATACAATAATAATATTATATTATTTTAATTAATTGATATTTTTTTTAAAAAAAACAGTATGTTACAGAAATCACACAAAAGATATTTTTTTAATCATAGGTACTCTTTAATTTTTTGTTTTAAAAGGATGTTGAAGCGGCAGCCTGTGAGATATCAGATTGATTTGGACGGCTAAAATTCATGCCCCTGAGGGACGCTGAGAATTTAAGCTGCTGAGAAGATCCTGATCCCATTCTCTCTCTTCCAAAATTTTTCTTATTATAATAATTTTTTTATACTCTCTTTTTCTCATACATAAGAGTATTTTAGTGAAAAAATTTCTAATTTTTATATATTTGTTATCTTTAATTAATTTTAACTAATATTTTAATCTACGTGATAAATTCTAATATTACTCATAAAAAGAGACGGACAAAGTATGTAGTAGTGTCTCAACGAAATTATCTCTTATAGAAGGACACAAGTGCAGAGCAAAAATAAATAAGTAAATAAATTAGAATGTTATATGCTCTAGCCGTAACAATCTAACCGGAAAACGCGAATCTCTTACTAACAATTTTAGCTTTGATTCACTTTCACAGTTTCACCACTCTGGCACTCTCACGGGTCGATTTTAAAGACATTAATATTGTTACCAGAAACGAGCTGGCAGACGAACACAGACGAAGAAGAAAAATGGAAATAATTGTTCATTATATTTCCCCATTAGCATATAATCTCATGCTTCCTCTCTCTTCATTTCTTCATTTCCCTATTAATATATGTATTATTTTATTGAATAATATATATGTGTGTACTTATATAAATACGTAATTTTAAGAGAAATATTAAAATTAAAAATTATAAAAATAAAAGTAGTTAATATGTTAATGAAGATGTTTTGGAAATACTAAAAGACCTAATTGAATATATAAATTCGAAATCATACAAATAAAAAATTTTAATTAAATAATATTACATCAATAATTAGATGACATGCTTGGGTGCAATGATATATATTTTTCTAATATATTTGAGTAAACTTGCGGGTCATATCAACTCCTATCCAGTAAACTTGCAGGTCCTACCAAATTTGAGCTGAAGCACTAACTGTAGAAGTACTTTTATTTATGCTTAACAAAGCGGTTACTTTACAATTTTCATGAATGGCTTCATTTGTTTACTTAAAATTTGTCTGGTTTCTTGTTTTGAAAACAATTTTTTGTTTTTAAAAATAAAAAAACTTGTTTGGTAAGTTGTTTTAGTTGATTGTTTTAAAAAACAAAAAACAGTAACATATTTTAAAAACCAAAAAACTAAAACAACTTTTACATGTTTTTGTGTTTTTTATTTTTTGTTTTGAAAAATTTTAAAAAATCTTTTTCTCTTCTCATCTACTATCCACCACTTATTATTACTAACAACAACTATCACCTATCAAGTATGATTTTATATAGGTTTTTTTTTCAAACATTTTTTTTTAAAAATTATTATCCAAACAAAGTTTTTTGTTTTTTGTTTTCAAAACTTGTTCTAAAAAACAATTTTATAAAATTGTTTTAAGAATAAGAAAATAAAAAACAAAAACAAACAAGCCCTTAATTTCTCATATTGTGATTTTTCACATGTTAATCAATGTAATCTAATTTTTAGAAGAAAATAGTGATAACTAAAAGAGGATTAAATAGCATTTTTACATCAAATGATTCATGAAATTATACTCTTCTATTCCTTAATAAAAGATCTAATTTATTAATTTGAGTATATTAAATATGCCTATTAAATTAGTTAATATGATATGTTTTTTTCTAAAATATCTTAAACATCTTCCTTAACTCTTTCTCCCTCTTCGACTTGATTATTATTAAAAGAATATCATTACGATTAATTTTAAAAAATTAATAAATATATGAAATAGGGAATAACTATGACCAACAAAAAATAAATTAGATTGTTACAAAAGGAAAACACGTTAGTAAGGAGAAGTGAATCAATTTTATTTATAGGGTAGAGAGACAAGATATTTTTTAGTTCTATTTATAAGGTACTGAGAAATTTTTTGTATGAATATATAATTTTACCTTTCATTTATTATTGTCTTGACTTTATTTACATAAGGTATAATACATATTAAATACAGATAAAATTAAAAAAATTAAATTTTAAATAAGAATGAATAAAATTTAAGATTTAACAAAGAAGTATAATTTAAGATTCCACAGAGGAGTATAATTCAATTTCACAGCTTCACCGCTCTGGCGCTCTCACGGGTCGATTATAAGGCCATTAATATTGTTACCAGAAACAAGCTAGCAGGCGAACACAGAAGAAGAAGTAAATTGGGAAAACATTGTTCATCTCCATTTTCCCATTAATATATTCCTCTCCCTTCATTTCTCCATCCACCACACTTCCAGACTTTTCCACTTCAATCTCCCTCTCCGGTGAGCCCATATGGAACTTCCAATGAGCCCTCCTCCGCCAAAAGAAGCAACCCCTGGCACTTACGGTGAGCCTCCGGCAAAAGGTGGTGAGAGACCACTTGCCTTCGCAGAGGAAGTGATCGATAAGACCCTCATCAGTCTTAAAATGCTCGATTACTTCCTCCCATGGCAGGCCTTCTTTATCTTCAAGATGCTGCTTGCCATTATCACCATATTGGCCTGCCGCTACTGCCCCGGCGTCCGGTGCTTAATGATCAACCTCTTTTTCGGCCTCTGTGCCCTCTCCTGCTTCTTCTTCCACTTCACCATCAGATTTGTCGCTCCCGACCGCCTCGTTTACATCGGCTTCCTCGCACCGAAAAGGCTGTCGGACTTTGTTCGTGCGACAATGTCGGCGGTGGTGTTCGTGGCGTGGACTTCGATGCTTCCCAGGTGTGCCGAATGTTTGTTTCCAGGGCAGGAGATGCAGTTTTTCTGGCCATGGATGGTGATAAATGTTTGCATTGGCTTGTTTCTGGCTTTTCCCTGCTAGTTCCAGGAGGCATGCACGTACGTGTCTCCGTGATGTGGAGAACTATGAATGTGTTTGTTTTAATTCGTCAGTTGTGATAGGATGTCTTTCTGTGTTGTGTTGAAGTTTCTGATGATTAGGGTTCAATTCACTGGATTAGATGAATGTTATGTTTAAATTGGGTTGTTAAGATGTGTCTCCTATGTTGCTGTTTCGTTGTAATGCTTCTTCAGTTCTTAATCTCTTTCCATTCCTCGATCGGCTTTTCTGTGAACTACTTTCTCTTCTACCTTTGATTTCATCTTATGTTGTATTTTCACCTACGTACGTCCGCAAAGTTAATTCCTTTTGCCTTAGTTTCAATAAGAGGCCCAAATTTGATTGAAAATTTGACTAAAACAGGTTGAGACAATTCAAGACCCCTATAAATTCTGCAAAAAGCTGGACCCAGACCCACACAAATCCAGATTTAATGTGAACAGTCCTGATTTAATTATTTTATTTTATTTTTAAAAATAATTCTTTTAATGAGTGTAGAATGAAAAATAAAGATGATCTTTTAATTATTTTCTTTGAAAAAATAATGCCGGGTGCCTGATGAGCACCAAAACCTGGTCCCACAAAATCAGCTAATCAAAGGATGATGGAGGACTTCAGGACCAGTTTGAACTGAAAACGTTTGTTCTTTTTGTTTTTTGTGGGTATTAGAAACTTCTGATCTAAGTTCTTTAATGGGCTTGCCATCAACTGGGCCTCAAAATGAAAATAGTTTTATAGCTAAGCCATCTGCGTCCACCAAACTATATCTTTGAATTTGGGAATTATTTATGAGGTGTGCAGAATTTGTCTCCTCTTTTAATTTCCTTCTCTTGCAATCTGGAAGGAAAAATGAATTTTTTTTTACTCGATGGTTAAGGTTTTTTTTTTTTGAGCAATTGAACGAGCTAAATGTTTTATGAAGATGAAGCATCTTCATTTATTCTTCTTTCCCCAGTGATGCAATTTTTTTTAAAAATCTTTTTTCAACTCAAAAATCTGACTTCAGTGAAAAAAAAAAGTTGGATGTCAAATGGGTATGCCAGCTCAATGCAACGGGATCAATAAACATCCACCGTTTAGCTTGTGCTGCGAATTTATAATTTCACCACACAACTCTAGAACAAAGCTTTGAATACCACAGCTTTTGCAAAACTTAGGTGGTAAAAATGACTCTTAATGCAAAAATATATTTTTTATATTTATCCATTTCTTTTAAAATACTCCTGAAAAAAGAGACATTAAGAAAAATAATTATAATATTTAAAAAAACATATCATATTTCTTGTAATTAACTAACTTATCTAATTTTTTAATTTAATCAAATTAGTTAAATAAGTCTTATACTATCTCCGGTCCTTAATATAAGATCTTATTTACTTTTTATTTTGATCCTAAATATAATATCCCAATCCATTTTGTCTCTCATATTTAGATATTTTTTCCAAGATAATCTTTCTAACAATGGTAGTTCTAACCAATATACTTAATTAGCAAGGATATTTTAAGAAAGATAACATATATTTATTATAAATAACTAATTTAACTTCTTTTCTTAATCTCCTCAAACTAGTCAATTAGTTCTTATAATTAGGACCGGAGGTAGTATTAAATAAGGAAAGAATAATAATTTAAAAAAGGAAGAAAAAAAAGACCCGCCAAGTGAAATCCACACCACAAGCGAAGAAACATATTGGGTTTCATATTATCCACCCGTCCGCTAGTTTCAGCATTTGCTTCGGCAGAACACGCAGAGAAGAGAGAGAGAGAGAGAGAGAGGAATGGCTTATATTAACTGCAACAGCTTGGGTGCTCCAATTGGACCAACCATGCCCAAAACACGCACACACAAGCGCGTCTTCCTCACGGCTTTCGCTGCCAAATCTGGAGGTTTCTCTCTGAACTCGGTGCGTTGTTCTTAATTATGCTTAAGCCTTCGTGAGCACATCTTTAATTAACTTGATGGAAGCAACATGGTCATTAATTAGACCGAACATGAGATTAGAGAACAAATCCTATTTGTTTTTTAGAGAGAATTTAGATGACCGGCCAACAGAAGAGTGAAGCATTTTCTTAATCAGTTTGGTAAAAAATTTTGGACTGGTTGATTGTTATAATGTTTTTCTCCACTTGTTGAGTTTGAAATAATATTGTTTTGAGTGAGAAATGCAAGTTTTATATACACACAGATATTAGTACTTTTATTTAATGTTATTTCAATTATGATTGGATTAACCTCAATTCAGCAGTGGTTATATCACTAATTCTCAAACTAGCACCTTAATTGGTTTAATGACTAATCCAATTTTAAAATCCTCAATATCCTTATTCAAAGTTAGTTTATTGCCACCTCTTTTGGTGGCTAGTCATATTTTTCATCATTTGTAAATATTATAATTTATTATATGTAATATTTTGGTATTGATGATATTAATAAACGTATTAACCAGACTATAATAGATATGCTATATATTGATTATTGAATATTAAATAATGATTATAAATATCAAATAAATATTGTGTAAAGAGAACGAAAAAGGGTATATTTTTCTGTCAGTCATGCTATGTGCCAAAGTCCAAAGATGACTTATACATGTTTATTGCTAAAGGAAAATACTCAAAAAAAAGAAAAAATTGAATGTTCTAATATTGCAAAAGAAAAGGAGTAGGTTTGTGATTAGAATATTTTTACTGTAATAAAACAGAAGTACGTATAGCTGTTAATTGTTAATAGGGTGAACAAAACATTGCCATTTTTGTAATAAACATAAAGTATTTATATTTAAATTGGACGGATGGTATATTATTTTTTAAAATTTTCAACTATCACATTTTACGTTCATAATGAAAAGATAGATTATTTACTGGCTTGATGTATTTACATTTTTTCACTCTCATTTTCATGAAATGGTCATGCAGATATTCAAAAGATGCCAAACTTGTGGAGGCCAAGGTGCCATAGAGTGCCCAGGATGTAAGGTCTGCCCCTCTCTCTCTCTACATATATATATATATGTATATATGTATATATTACAAATAATGGTTGAATTAGGCGAGGAAGACTTGTTATCTCTTAATAATGCCTAAAGTTATATTAGCCAATATTATCAGAGAAGAAATATATAAAAAGGGTTAGAAAGTCATGTAATTAGGGAATTCATGGTAAGACCTTTTTTTTTTTTATAGAAAAATTATGATATTTTATTAAAATCTGAGTAGTTATAGGACATATTTTAATTTTGAGAGAGAGGGAGAGAAAAATAGCAATTGGTCTTATTTTTTATTTTTTATGATATTTCTAAATATGTAATTTTTATGAATATTTTTATTGAACATATTTAAATTGTGCTTGTATTTTTTTTTTGGTGGCTAGAAAGTTATGTTTAGGTAATTGTTTGTGATTTTACATCTTTTCTCTCTCTCTCTCTCTCTTGTGATACTAATCATAAGTAAATATTGACAGGGAACGGGAAAGAATAGGAAGAATGGTAATATATTTGAGCGATGGAAGTGAGTTCTTCTTTTTATTCATTGTGAATAAATCCTAGCCGTGCAACATTTAATTTCCAAATTTTTATTTATTTTATTTTATTTATTTAACGGCTTTGTTAAAAACCTTTGGTGCAGATGTTATGACTGCCAAGGATTTGGGCTAAAGAGCTGCCCCGCCTGTGGTCAAGGAGGATTAACACCAGAGCAAAGAGGAGAAAGATAAAAATTTCAAGTTGAAATAATAAACTCCCATGTAGTACCTTCTGTCCTTAATATAAAACCTCGTTTGACTCTTATTTTGACTCTAAATATAAAATCTTAATCCACTTTATTTCTCATATTTATATATTTTTTCCCAAGGTAGTTCTTCTAATAATAATTATAATTCTATCTAATACACTTAATTAGTAAGGATATTTTAGAAAAGATAACACCTATTTATTATAAATAACTAACTTAATTTTTTTAATCTCCTTAAATTAGTCAACTAGCTTTTATAATTAGAACCGAAGATAATATTATATACAGTTTAATGAAGCAGTTTGTAAATAATGCTACTTGCTATAAATTTACATTTGATATAAGAGTGAAGCGTCAAAAAATGTAATCATGCCATGTAGCGGTGCTTGCTCATGTCAAGAATGTAGATATATATTGATACTTCCTCTTATTCTAAATGTAACTGCTTAAGAAAATTATTTAAGTTAATTATTGATAATAAATTTGTATTAATTTTGTTAAAATACCCCTTTTTAATAATGTGCACCAGAAACTACTCCTATTTACGAAAGCCACTATTTACTATTTAGTATGAGCAATCAATAGAGATAGTTTAGAAAAAAATTATAAATTTAAAATACAAAATAAATTGATGTCTTACATTTAAAATACAAAATAAATTGATGTCTTACATTTAAAATTAAAACAAATTCCAACTAGTTTTTACATTTAAGATTAGCGGGTTTATCTTATAAACAAGTTACATGTCAAATTAGAAACCAGGAGCATATTTCGAAAGACTAGTGTTTCAAATAACTCGAGTGCACTTTAACCACTAACTTTAAACCCCGATCCGTTAGTAAGAGTCACAGCAATACCACCTTACAACGTGAACAGTTCCAGACAGAAGATTTACCAGTTATGTGGCCTGCAGCTTCCAAGTCAACTAGCCAAGCATTACTGTCGTGAATTTTCTGAGTTTAGAGCCAATGATGGATCACATATGCTAGCAACCAGAATAGATGCATTATTGCCTTATGTTGGCTACTGCAATTGATTGCCAACCAATTTGCGAAGCATTTCTTATGGACTTTATTTGCACAGTGCTGCTGCCTAGCAGACACACGCACACGTGTATGCTATAGCACCATTTTTAAGCTACTGATTACTGAACTTATGCATCTCCGCTTGTGGTTTCTCCTCGGAATTTGCTAGCCTCCCATGATATTTCAGAATCTGTCTTTAGTGTGCCAAATATATGACAATGGTCAGACCATGGTCTATACCAGGTTTCCTTAACATATACTCACTGATTTATGGTGCTTAGACTACCAATGTTGAGGCTTTCAGACTCTTCCTGCCTGCTTTCTTCTCTCTCAACTTCAAATACTTCCTCAAGGGATGACAATGGATCCAGGCTCGTCAGCCGCCTTCCAAACTCTTAAAAGACTGGCTTGAGGCCTACAAAAATTTTGCAGAATTTCTTCTGTTCCTTAGCATGCTATCATATATAGGTTATGTGTTGGAGACGACCATCGATGGCTCTCATCAAATTGTAGCCAAAGTTCTCTGATCTTGATGCATGCATGAACTCATCAATGCTTGGTGGGGTGGCACTTCCGGTAAAATAGTCAACTTTCCTTTGCCAAAAATAAACAACATCATACTGGATGACCCTCTTAGAATCAAATATTCATGCCCACATGGTCATTTGCAAACAAGTGCTGTGTTTTCTTAAGAAAATAAGGTTCAACCTGCAAGGGCAAATGATACAGAATCAATGCATACTAGTCGGAATGGGGAAACCAAACAAAATCATTGTGTGTTTCAAAAGTCAGTTCATTCAATTGTTCAAAATCCAAATCACACTCTCTCAATTTATAGGTTTAGTTCTTGCAGCTTTGTCAATTGATAACTGTTCTCAATACAGAAACAGCCCACGCAGATAGTAAGAACACACATAAATCATGAAACATTTAAACACTGTCAATATCCAATGGCAAGAAATGGATGGACAATTGTTGGATGAAATAAAATGTAGATTTGCTTGCTTTCCAATAAGAACCAGCGTGTGTTTTTTTTTGGGGGGGGGGGGGGGTGGGGAGTGACGGAGGGAAGGAAGTAAGACCGCCTACCAAGAACATTGATCATGTATAGACAAGCAAAACAATAAAATCCCTTTGATCATCTGCGCTAGAAAAAGAAAACACAGGTCATTGCAGTTAAATAAGTTAAAAAGGCATTACAGTCCTTAGAAATCACTTTAGTCAATAAATCAGATCATCTCACTCTGCTCTGGATTCAGTCTAATCAGCAAAATACTTGAAGTAGTGATTAGGTGCATCAATATGGGTGAGGTTTTATGAGCACACTTCAAGCATCTCCTTAGATTATTTCCTGCCCAAAAATATTCAGCCTCCAAGAGTATTTATGTACAAAAATTTGAGCAAATCATATCTTTTGAATCCTGTAGTTAACTATTGTGCTTTAAGCGACAATATCTTGGAAGTTTCTAGTGCCACAGATGTTAATATAAAAATTAATGAACCATATGAAAGCACTTCAAAGTCTTCTAAAGTCGTTAAACCAGAAAATAAGTTTTTCCATTATATAATAACATCGTGACACAAAACAACCAGAAAACAAGAAAACAGTTAATTAAGCATTGGAAGAAACAAGTAGAATTGCCACCACTCAATAAATGTATCATGTTCAACTTAACAAAATTTTCCCTATTAGCATCAAAATTCCTAAGAAATGTAAAATTAAAAATAATTAATAAAAAAAGGGAAAAGAGGAGTTGCACATATCTTATCTCTCTCTGTGTCCCTTACAGCAAAAGATGCAAAATCATGTTCAGTCAGGCAGCAAACTAGAGTCAACTGCAGAACTTCAACTATTTCAAATGACTAAATTTGAGAAACCTGAAAAGCTCCACCTTCCTGAAATCTATCCTCTTTCATTAGTGCCGTAAGATGCTTCAAAGTTTCATAGATTTCATCTGAACTAAAATGTGATTTATCACCAGCAACAAATATGTTTGTGTTTTGCCCCACTGCAATCCAGCTAAATCCCGGCATCTTTTGGACTTCTTTCTCTATCATTGTTTTCCTCAAAGACCTTGCTTGTTTCCAATGTCCTGATGCCGCATATATATTAGCAAGCAGTACATAAGGAGCGGAATTTTGAGGCTCTAACTTAATGAGGTTCTCAGCTGCCTGTTGCCCCCTTTTCTCATCTCCGTGTATACAGCAAACGCCTAACAGTGAGGCCCAAATCCTAGCATTGGATTCAACATCTAGTTTTTCAATGAACTCCTCTGCTTCTTTAAGAAAACCCCATCTACCAAGAAGATCAACCATGCAGGCATAGTGATCTACTCTGGGCTGAATACCATATTGATTGATCATCATATCAAAAATTTGGCGGCCCTCAGGAACCCATCCTGCATGACTGCATGCAGTAAGCACCCCAAGGAATGTGACATCATCTGGCATAACACTTGATTGTGTCATCTCATTGAATATGTTAAGAGCATTTCCTGCAAACCCGTTCTTGGCAAATCCAACAATCATTGAGTTCCAAGAAATAACATTATTTTTAGAATTCATTTCTTTGAAAACTTTCTCAGAACTTCTTACGTCTCCACATTTAGCATACATGTCTACTAGAGCACCGCTAGTTAACTCATCTGAGTCAAAACCAGTGTGGAAAATTAGAGAATGTATCTTTTCCCCATCTTGTAATGAAGATAAGAGAGCACAAGCTCGAAGAACACTAACAAATGTGGCTTGGTCAGGTAAAATGTTGTTCTCACGCATTTTCCAGAACAAGGTCAGGGCCTCTTCACTGCAATCGTTTTGTGTGTGTCCAGAAATTAAAGCTGTCCATAATACCCTGCTTTTGAGATTGAAAAACTCCAAGAAAAGAACATTTGCATCTGCAATTCTTTGAGATTCCGTATACATGCCCAACACAGAGACGCCTAACAATTCACTACCGCACAAAAGACCCCTCTTTAAGATGACACCATGGAGCTGCATGCCTAACGTTATATTTTGAGGCCTACAAGCATCTATAAGGCTTGCGAATGTAACTTCAGATGGCTCCAGTCCCATGATTAGCATCTTATGCAGAAGATTAAAAGCTTCTTTGGTATTGTTATGAACATACCCTGCAATCAGAGCATTTAAGGAGACAACATTCCACTCTGGCATGCAAGAAAATACTTTTTGTGCATCTCCAATGGCCCCACACTTAGAATACATGTCAATAAGAGCACTTCCAGCACAAAGTCTTCTTTCCAAACCTAACTTAACTGACAGACAATGGACTTGCAGTCCTCCTTCCAGGACCTTCACATTTCCACAAGCACTGAGTATGCTAGTCAAAGACACCTCATCAGCCACAATACCATGGCCAATCATTCTCTGAAACAAGTTGAAAGCCTCAGTCTCATCTTCTTGCTGCACATATCCAACAATAATTGCATTCCAAGATATATTATCTCGATTTGGCATGAGGTCAAATAGCTTTCTAGCATCCTTCAAAGTCCCAGCTTTAGCATACATATCTATCAATGCATTATTCACAAATAAATTAGATGTAAATCTTTTCTTGACAATAATAGAATGCAATTGGCGACCCATTTCTTGGTATTTTAGGCAACTACATGAGCTCAAAATGCTGGTGTATGTAAATTCATCCAAGCCCATACCACATCTCACCATGCAGAAGAACAAGTCCATAACCTCGTCAACATAATTATTCTGTGCATAGACTCCAAGCATGGCATTCCATATGACAATGTTTTTTTCATCTATTACATCAAAGACTAGCTTTGCAGCATCCAACATGAAACACTTACCATACATATTGATCAGAGAACTTCCTACATATATATTGTTATCCAAACCTTGTTTGATTGCCTCCGCGTGAACTAACAAGCCATAATCCAGAGCCTCTAAACAGGCAATTGAGCGCAAAACACTCCCCAGAGTGGATCTTGAGGATTTTATGCCAGCCTTCCTCATTTCAAGGAAATAGGTGATAGCCTCCTCATTATGACCTCTGCGAGCATGACCTGAAATCATTACATTCCATGCTACAACATTGCGAGTGGGCATCTGCATAAACAATTCACATGCATCTTTCACCCTTCCTAAGCTCAAGTATGCATTCATAATGGTTATGCACATAACTAGGTCTGGATAAAAACCAGATTTTTGCATTTTCTCAAACATTTTTATGGCCTCCTCCAGTAAACCGCCTTGAATGTAACCAGATATTATTGCAGTCCAAGAAACAATGTCTAAATTCAAAGCCCCATCAAATACCTTTTGAGCATCTCTTATGCAGTTGCATTTGGCATACATATCAATAAGAGAACCCTGACAAAAAGAAAATGATGCAAAACCTCTCTTGATTACCCAACAATGAAAAAATCTGCCATATTCAACATTCTTCAGTTTAGCACATACAGACAGAGCAATAGCACAAGTGAATTCATTAGGCAATTGGCCATAATCTCTTAGAGACCCAATACACTGAAGAACCTTCTCCAGCAACCCATTTTTGGAGTACATAACAAGAAGTGAATTCCAAGCCAACAAATCCTTATTATCCAGCTGAGCAAACACCTTCTCAGCAAAGCCCAAATTGCCACATTTAGCATAGAGATCAACAATGGCATTTCCAAGTAACCCTTTTGACCCAATTCCATTTTTAATGCCATGGGCATGAATGATTTTACTAATTCTTGAGATCCCTGATCGTCTCTCAGAAATTTCATCAAAAAGATAGTGATGCTTGATTTGCCTGCATTGCTGTAAGCAAGACTGCAGCAGATGACCATATCGATGATGCTCTTCTAAGTTCCGATTATGTGGAATAGTTGAATATTGAAGAATAGAAGTTAGGTAGTAATGGCATAATAGAGAGTTTGGCACGCCAAAAGATCTGAAGGAACATTGAAGTTTAACGTGCATTGACTGAGCAACAATCCCTAACCCTGTCTCATGGTAAGAGGGAAAATCGGAATTAGTTTCAACAGCCTGATTTAATTATCAGCATCTAACAAGATATGAGTACAAATAATGTAACTTGAATGAAACAATTTCCGCTTTGGGCATAACAGAAGCAGGTTAAGTGCAGCACTAATCTCTACCTCGTCAGACAGTGCAATTTATAGTCTTCTTGTTTGTAAAACTAATTTCCTACGAAAAATATTTTTACAAAAATAAAATATTCTGTCATATGAATAACAGATGAGAAGTATCGTTTTCAACACTAAAAACAAATTCTTCATTAAATTGTCATATACAAAGATTTTTGTTAGAAAAAAAAAATCTTGTTTATAACTTAATAAATATTTTTTTTCCTCAAACTGTATGGCAAACTCAAAACACTTTATAAGAAGTTTTATCAACAAGAATCAATAATTATATTGTTCTTCCACGCAAACTCAATTAGGGGCGCCAAGCCTCGTCAAAAAAACCCAAGACTATTCAGCAAGAAACCCAAACCCAAACCCAAAAAAAATCTCAAAATTAAAGCAATGCAATATTACAATTCCATTGAATTTTTCATGCAATTCCCGTATGAATCAATTAATGCATTGCCAAAAAGAGAATATTAAACAAAACTCCCAACGTGTCATCCTGGACCAGGATCCCCTTAGTACTTCAGGGAATCCAGATCCTAGAAGCAACAAATTAAACCAATCCTAACCATATGGCCAAAAAGAAGAGGACACCCGCAAATTAATACCAAATTGCCTAAGCAATAACAGACATTTAGCAATTACAGCAGCAGAATTGGTCAAATTAAATACCGTAAGACAAAAAATAAGTAGAAACCAAAGATCTAATATGAATGCATTTCACAAATCTGTTAATCGGGAGTAAATCGCCCGGATAACCCGCATACTAGCATTGGACCATTCATTGGTCTAAACAAGGGGAAAAGGAGAAAATTTGGAAGACGAGAAGAACACAAATCAAATAGAGAGGAACAAAACCGAAATGCCTTACTTGCAATGGACAAAAATGCATCCTTCCCTTATGCATACTGTTACAACCGAAGGGAATAAACTGATTCTGCTGCACGGAAGTTGCTTAAAGTCTTGGAATCAGAATCCGCTAAATAAAGAAGTAACGAGACGAACCGATAGAAGAACTCAACGAAGCCGCGGATGATCGACGGGCATTCTTCGTAATGGAGCTGGTGGCATCATCAGTATTGAGTATTGACATTATTGGGCCGTCGAGGTCACCGCCGTTTCGATGGAGTGTCTTGGACTAACGCCAACCCCAACAAAACGACGCCGTACGTGGCCCAAAGCATAATTTCTTGCCACCCCAGAAATAACGGCGTCGTACAGGAGCCACGCTTCAGCCGCCGTCCATCTTTGTGCGGTTGTGCTCCGGGCTATACATTATAACATATTTTTTAAAATCTAAAAAATTAAAATTTATTAATATAAACTTTAAAAATCAAATGGCATACACCCACATTTAATCAGGAGAAAAAAGCAAAATTAGTAACAAAATTAATAACATGTCATATAATCAGGACAAAAAAATATTTTTCTCTCTTATAAATAGAATCAGAGTGGTATTAATTTGAGATGATTCATCCTGCTTATCATGGCCTAATGAACTTCATGTAGGTATTGTAGGCTCGCCAAAAAATTTTCAGTTTGGCACAAAACCAAAGATATAATAAACATAATTGGGGAAATTACACACTGTAAATCTTAAGTTATTTTCCTGGCAACAAAAACGGATCTTAAGTATTTTTATCTTTGCACAAGTTTTTTTCAAGCAAGGGAGTTTAACTCCGATATTTAATAGTATTAGAGTTAGTTTAGTATTCGGTTTGATTTTAAACATAAGATCTTAATTCATTTTGTCTTTTATATTTACATTTTTTTAAGGTAATCTTTAAAGTAGTTGCACATCATAGAAATTTATTAAATGATAGTTCTAAATAATAAATATTTTTTTTTGATCAGTTCTAAATAATAAATATAATTAGTAAGAAAGTTTAAAAAAAGATGATATCTATTTATTATAAATAATTAGTTTAACTAATTTTTTTAATTATATTTAAATTAATTTTTATATTAAAGGCCTTGTATTTCATTATTTCTTGATGCTGGCAAACTTTGGGGGGAAACAAACAAACCAAAACATGTCCAAATGGCTTGTTCATTCGAAAGAGGCCAATTTCCTCCTCATTTCCTCCTCAGAAATGATGTGAACCACAGAAACCCTAACCAGATGAACGACATGAACTCCGTCATATTTGAGAACCACACCATTCCTTCTTTCTCTTTTGTCTCTACTCTTCCTTCCTCCCTCCTTCCATGGCTTCCGTAGCAGCTACACAGTTTCTATTACACAACGCTCTCTCACGAAATCACCGATCGACCAGATTCTTCGGCCTCCAAAGCCCCACTTCTAGGGCTCTGGTTCTTCGAATTCGTGCCTCTCAGACTTCAGAGGGGCCTCGCGGGCGCCAGAAAGCACCCCCTGGAGTTGACACGAGGATCCACTGGGACAACGAAGATGAGGGTTGGCTCGGAGGCTCCACTAGTAATAGTAAACAATCCAAGCCAGAGGATGTGCTGGGCCAAAATTTTGCTGATTTGCTTTCTGATTTTTCTGGCTCTCATTACGAGTAAGCGCTTGCTTTGACTCTGAAATGTTATTTTTGGCTAAAAATTACAAGGACTATGCCAATGCAAAAATATTCAGACCGTAGCAATCATACCATGTAACAGGACAAACACCTCAAAGATAGACAGTTTTTAGATTTTAATTTGAGTGAAATATGATAGGAACGTCAGATGGTATTGGATATGGATGGTTTCAATTTAAAACTGTTTTTGACGCTGGATATGAGAAATTGGATTATGCACAGTGTTATTATCAATGTGTGAACAGAGCAAGGTGGGGGGAAAAAAGAACAGAGCACATGTTCAACTTTGGTCCTTGAAAGATGAGAATTACTTGTGATGGTGAAGTTTTTGAATTTGTTTCTTGAAGCCAATTGGTTCAGTCTTGAATTTGCTATCTTTTAGTGGTCAGTACTCTGTTATTTTCCAGCAATATCTGGTATTCTGATATTATTTTCCTAATGCATTTAACACTATGATGTTTTATCTTGAGGCATGCACCGGTAATGTTATAAATAAGACTATAGTACTCGATGTGTCATAAATAAAATTGGGGTACTTGATGCAACTGGAAAATAACACAAGGGTGCTAGAAGCTAATATATCCTATTTTAGTCCTTTTGTTTGATCAGTTTGTATATTTACTTTATCTTGAGGACTAACTCAATAATGCATGTATATAAGGTGCAAATTTTGAAGTACCAATTCATGGAGAAGAACAAATATAGGGAAAGAGCTTAAGGACATATATTATTCGGGGAGTAAGTTGAAAATAATTGTGGGATTCGTGACAAACTGATTCATATTGAAAATATGCAGATTTTTAGGAGTCTCAGCAGAAGCTGATATAGAAGAGATTAAAGCAGCTTACAGGAGATTATCAAAGGAATACCACCCAGACACAACCTCACTCCCTCTGAAAACTGCCTCAGACAAATTCATGAAGTTGAGAGAAGTTTACAATGTCCTGAGCAATGAAGAGAGGCGGAAATTTTATGACTGGACGCTTCTCCAAGAGGCGGCGAGCCGGCAATCGGAGAAGATGAAGATGAGATTGGAGGATCCTCGTGAGCAAGAGTTGAAGAGCTGGGAATCTGTTCCAGACATGGTTGATAGGCTTGGAGGAAGGAACATGAAGCTCAGTGATCAAGCAGCGACTGCTCTCACTGTTGATGTTTTCATCATTATTTTTGCCATTTGCTGCATCATTTATGTAATATACTTCAAAGAACCATATTACTAGATTGTTAATATCAAAATTGGTTAACTAAAATCTATAAGTAGAAGCTGAATATAGCATCTTAGCCCTGTAGACAATATTGTATCACAAATTCTTATATCATAAAATGTACATTTGATGCAGTGAAAGTTGAATATACATGTATAAGATCCCAGTATAGGATTAAAATATCACTTATGGTTATTAGTCGTCTAAATTTATTTTAACTGTGTATATTATAAGTTCTAAATCTTGTTTTTAATTGAAATATCACTTTTTTTAAAGTTTGGAATTCAACATTTGTTTTAGTTTTATACTCTATTTCTTTTAATATTATATATATAACAAATTGGAAAAAACACGATTCAAAATATCTATATTTAATGTAAAATAACTATTTTAAATAAGGTTAACTTCTAGGGGTCGCACTCTTCACACCAATTTCCTTTTAATCAATGTAAAATATAGGGGTAAAAAGTATTTGTATTATCTCCGGTTTTAAATATAAAAGCTCGTTTGATTATAAATATAATATTTTAATCTATTTTGTTTTTAATATTTATTTATTTTAATAGTCCTCATGATGACTATAGATATTAAAGGATTTTCATTCTAATACATATTATTGGCAAAATTATTTTAAGAAAAAACTTATTTATTATAAATAATTAATTTAATTAAATTTTTAATATCTATAGACTAATTATTTAATTTTTATATTAATAACCACAGTAGAAAAAGTTAGGTAATAGCCAGCCCTGTTCATTGGCCATGACCGGCTTCTTTTCTTTTTCTTTTTCTTGTTTGCCCCTTTTTATTTGCGTTTTTTGGAACTTTCTTGATTGGCTGCTGGGGACTGTCTAAAAAAATACTTCTCCAGGGCAATTTTACAACTAGTTTAAAGAATGTTTGACCCTTTTGCCCCTATCTAGTCTGATTTTGGAAATAGTTTGAGAGCCATCTTTACTAGGTTTAGAAAGTCATTTTATTACTAGCAAGTGATTAATCGCTAATTAGCTGTATTTATATTTTCTTGCTTGGAGCTTGTACTTGAACCATATTATATCATAACTGGAATAGGCTCAAGTTTTTTTTTATTTAATAATATTTAAAAAAAAGTGATCAGTCTCTAAAAACATTTTGGTTTTGATTAGCATTGTTTTGGAAAAAGCTGATTATTTATATTACAAATTTTAATTTTTGGGATCCTGAATCTTACTGAGAAGGGACGATGTACAATTAAAGGAAATAATAAAACAAATAAAACCTCAACTAACTCCATCAAATTATAAAATTTGACATAGAAATATATCAAGATATCAAACTCTTCTATATTGTTCACCTGATGACAAATGGTATCGCATACAAATCACAAGAAGGAATACACTATGAGATATGCATTTTATTTTGATCCCTATCATCCATGAAAGTATCGAATACAGACAGAAATAATGGATATATATAAAAGTATCATTGAAACAATTCAAATTAGATTAAGAACAATCTTCGTAAACTTTATGAAATGGTGACTAGTAGCCATGAGAGGGAGGAGGAGGTGATTTATAGTAGTAACGTGGAGAAGGAAGAGGAGATGATGGAGGAGGTGGAGACTTGTAGATGTATGGCGGAGGGGGAGAGGGAGAAGGAGGAGGTGGAGACTTGTAGTAATATGGAGGAGGTGGAGATGAGGATGGGGGTGGTGGAGACTTGTACACATATAGTGGAGGGGGTGAAGGTGAAGGAGGAGGGGGAGATTTGTAAACATATAGAGGTGGTGGTGATGGAGATGGGGGTGGGGGCGACTTGTACATGTATGGTGGAGGTGGTGAAGGAGATGGTGGAGGTGGAGACTTGTAGTAGTACGGGGGCGGTGGTGATGGAGATGGTGGAGGAGGTGATTTGTACACATATGGTGGAGGTGGTGATGGAGAAGGAGGAGGTGGAGACTTATAGTAATATGGAGGTGGGGACTTGTAATATGGAGGAGGTGGTGAAGGAGACGGAGGAGGAGGCGATTTGTATGCATATGGTGGAGGTGGTGATGGAGATGGAGGAGGTGGTGACTTATAGTAATATGGAGGCGGTGATGATGGAGAAGGCGGGGTGGTGATGGAGATGGAGGAGGTGGTGACTTATAGTAATATGGAGGCGGTGATGATGGAGAAGGCGGAGGCGGAGACTTGTAGTAATATGGAGGCTGTGGTGAAAGAGCTGGTGGAGGTGGAGAATAAGGGTCATAATCAGCACTAACACTATTGATAGCAACTAGGCAAATTGCCGTTGCCAGTATGATGTGAGGCCATTGCATCGGCCTTATTGAGCTTCCCATGATCTTCTTCTCTTTAGGTATCTCCAACTCTCTCTCTCTCTAATTTGCTTGATGATCTAACATGGATTATCTAACCCTTTATATAGTTATAGCACTTGACCGCGGCAACCAAAATTTATTATAATTTAATGCATTAATTAATTAATTAATTAATCCCTGGCACTAATGCTTCAAAGGTTGAACAAGCCAGTTTCAATATGAAGTAGCTTCCTTGTTATTTCATAGTACTTCTTAAAGTACGGCAGATCTTGCTAACCAATTTTTTAAAAAAAATTAAAGAAGCTAAATAAATTATTTCATTATAACTTATGTTATATGATTTGTTTAAAATATTTTGCGCATCATTAGATTATATATCCATCAGTTTCTAAGTCAAGCAAATTAGTTTGAAAAAAATAATAAAGATAAATATATTAAAATAATTTATTTAGTTTTATTAATCTTTTTAAATTAGTTAACGGGCTTTCCATTAAGCACGGATGGTAATTTTTAAAATCGAGATAATGGTTCTGATTGTGTGAATTATTTCCAAGGATGCGTGCGCTATATAGGCAAAGTCAATGGAAGGAGTTGGTGTGGACAAACGGTAAAAGAGCGTGTGGGAGAATATGTCTTTTGATGTTTTCCTCATAATTTATTAATTCAATTTAAAAGACGTAACCTAATTATTATAATAATCAGTCAAGTGGGAAACAGCCATAATAATTTCTAATGTGAAATCCATTCTTCTAGATTTTCTTATTATACTTACTTTCTTCCAAAATTATATATTTATGAATTACTCTATTTTATTAATGGACCCAATATTTCATCCACTTCATATACACAGTCAATTCGATTCGATATATAAAATACAAATCAAAAAATTACTTGAATAAAAAATTTAGTTGAAATTAGCTAAAAATTACCTAAACTGGGCTCTCCTATATACTTTATGTCCTCATCTGATATAAAGGGCAGAATCTAGCTAGTTTATCAATCATTTAACATTTTATATTGTTTGAATAAATTAAATTTGTCTTTTTATTTAAAAAAATGGCTCAACTTATTATATAGAGAAAACTGTTATAAAATCTCAAATAAAAAAATATAATTATTAAAAAATCTCAATAAAAATTTTCCTGCTATGTAAAGTGATTCTTTTATTACTAAAATTTTCTTATATATTTTTTTTAAAATCTCATAGTAATTCTTTCTGCTATGTAAAGTGATGTCACTTGGCTAATGAGACGACATAGTCATCTGGTCCTGGGCATTAATTTTTTTAATTGTTGTTTTGCCATCAGTATCACCGGTTTATCGTAGTTGGACATTTTTTAATTTTTATGATGAATTTTTTATTTATTAGATTAATTACCGCTTTCAAATTAAAGTTGCCTGTTTCAATTTTTAATATTCCTGCAAGTAATTAAAGATGTGTGTATTTGCAATATGCAAATTTTGAATTTCAATTTTTCCAACAAACTTTTCCTTCTCATATAATGATTTATAACATATAATGATTTCTACAACATTTTCAACATATACATAGTCCAATCCTATTTATAAGTTACTCTTAATATATTTCATAAGATTTAAGAAAAACTTTAAATCTTATTAACTCAGCTTTAAAATTTATCAACTTTGCAATTTTATTCTCTCTTTTTTTGGCTAATAAACAACTTTACCCGTAATAAATTTTTTACTTTCTCCTAAATTTTTTCTATTAGTCGCATATGTTACGTTAAATGATGTTTCTATTAATATGATAATTTAAAAAAATCAACACATATTTATCATCAATAATAAATAATTTAATTGATTTTATTAATATCCGTAAATTAATTATCAACTTGTGTATTTAAAATCTAACTTCCTTTTATAATTATTAGAGCAAGTCTTGCTTATCGTGGCATGTTCTCTCTATATAATAATTGATGTGAAAACAAAAGCTTGGCGTATATTGTTTAGCCATTACACATATTTCAACTGCTCATATAGCACGTTGTTGCGTTAAAACATTGCTTTTTCAAGTATATTGGGCGTCGGCACCAAACTTTGTCTGACTTTTTTTCACGCGGTGCAGAAAAATTACTCCTTCGATTATTCTTGAATGGGACAATAACTCTTTATTATAAATAAGGATGTATTCCTCCGGCTCTTAATATAAGACATAATTATTGAGTTGGTTTTGATCCTAAATATAAGATCCATTTCTCATATTTATCAGTTTTTTCTAAACTATTCCTATAGATACTCCATCAACTATAATCAAGTAAAAGAGGGAGATGAGATATTAAGAAAGATGATTATGGTGTTTTAGAAAAAATGTATCACTTTTTTTATATTTAACTAACTTACCTAACTTTCTTAATCTAATCAAATTAGTTAAATGGATCTTATATTAAGGACCGGAAGAGTATTAATAAATCTGTGCAGATAAAAAGGTTAATTAAAATTAGCTAATGCTCGTCGAATTTTAAAATTTTGTCTTTCAAAAAAAAATTCATTGATTATAACGAACTGTTTAGATTGAATAGGAAATCACTGTCGAATCGGTTACAAACGTTGAGATTGAAAAACATTTGCAGCGGTTTGATAAGACCCAAATGTAATTTGATTTTGCAGTGGTTATGACGAACCGCTATAAAATCAGACTCTTGTTTTATTAGTAGCAGTTTTTGGCACTAAATCGCCACTAATATTCCAAAACAATTCTCTCGCCATGTAAAGCCAACCGTTCACGTCACAATTTTGTAGTGGTTGCATGCAAAATCACTGCTAGTGTCATTACACACATGTCATTACCAATCAAAGCATTGCAGAGTCGTCATGGTTGGATGCAAAACCGCAATAAACACACATTAGTTAAAACTGCGATAAAATAACTGCAGCAAAATAAAAACAATTTTTTTTTTTTTGCAGCGAGTTGAACAGAACATTTCTTCCTAAAATGAATTGCATATATCGAGCTAAATAGTTGCAAATTCGAGAGTCTCATTTACAAATAAGGGATTTACAAATATTGGTTCAGTCTTGAATTTGCTATCTTTTAGTGGTCAGCACTCTATGTTATTTTCCAGCAATATCTGGTATTCTGATATTATTTTCCTAATGCATTTAACACTATGATGTTTTATCTTGAGGCATGCACCCGTAATGTTATAAATAAGACTATAGTACTCGATGTGTCATAAATAAAATTGGGGTACTTGATGCAACTGGAAAATAACATAAGGGTGCTAGAAGTTAATATATCCTATTTTAGTCCTTTTGTTTGATCAGTTTGTATATTTACTTTATTTTGAGGACTAACTCAATAATACATGTATATAAGTTACAAATTTTGAAGTACCAATTCATGGAGAAGAACAAACATAGGGAAAGAGCTTAAGGACATATATTATTCGATTATTCTTGAATGGGACAATAACTCTTTATTATAAAAAAGGATATACTCCTTCATTCTTTAATATATGACCTAATTGTTGAGTTGGTTTTGATCCTAAATATAAGACTCATTTATCATATTTATTAATTTTTTCTAAACTACCCTTATAGATACTCCCTCAACCATAATCAAATAAAAGAAGAAGAGGGGGTATTAAGAAAGATGATTATGGTGTTTTAGGAAAAACATGTCATATTTCTTATAATAAACTAACTTACATAACTTTTTTAATATAATCAAATTAGTTAAATAAGTCTTATATTAAAGACCGGAATAGTATTAATAAATCTGTGCAGATAAAAAGATTAATTAAAATTAGCTAATGCTTGTCAAATTTTAAAATTTTGTCTTTCAAAAAAAAAAAATCATTGATTATAACGAACTGTTTAGATTGAATAGGAAATCACTGTCCAATCGGTTACAAACGTTGAGATTGAAAAACATTTGCAGCGGTTTGATAAGGCCCAAATGTAACTTGATTTTGCAGTGGTTATGACCAACCGCTATCTTGTTTTATTAGGAGCGGTTTTCGGCACTAAAGTGCTACTAATATTCCAAACCAATTCTCCCGCCATGTAAAGCCAACCATTCACGTCATAATCTTAGAAGTATTTGGATGTAAACCAAATCATAATTTTAAAAGTGTTTTTACGATTTACGAAGTAAATATGTAGAGGAGTTTGTCTTGTTTTGCAGAAAAGTGCTTCTTAGACGGACTTTTAAGCATTCTCAAATACCCTTTTTATAGCAGTTGTATGCAAAATCACTGCTGGTGTCATTACACGCATGTCATTATCGATCAAAGCATTGCAGATTCGTCAAGGCTGGATGCAAAACCGCGACAAACACTCACATTAGTTAACATTGTGATAAAATAACTGCAGCAAAATAAAAACATTTTTTTTTTTGTAACGAGTTGAAAAGAACATTTCTTCCTAAAATGAATTGCATATATCGAGCTAAATAGTTGCAAATTTGAGAGTCTCATTTACAAATAAGGCATTTAAGTTTCAACTGTAACTCTTAATTTACAATTAGTATTCCTATTTAATTTGCAATTGTTTGGATGGATATTTTATAAACAAGATTTATGGAAACGATATGTTACATAAAGAGGATCTTATATAAGAACAGCAAAAAAATGTCTTATACTCCATCCATTCAACCTTTTCTATAAAACCATATTAATAACTATAGTTATGAGATTAAGAAAATTAATTAAAATTAGTTGGATATAAACAAATTTTATAGACAAGAATATCTTTTTAATATGAGTCACAAGTGTTTTGTTAAGTTTTATAAGGAGTTTGCATTAAAGACCAATACAGAAGGTCTTGTA